ATAAATTAATAATTATAATCATTAAATATTTCTAATCATAAAAAGTTATGTGGTCTTAACAATTTTCCATATGTGTTGCTTATCAAACTACACATATTATAATTTTTATATGTTTCTTAACAAAGTAGGAATTTATTTATAAATTTTTTTTTACTTATTATGCTTATATAAAATCTTGATTATTTTTTTTATTTTTAATAATTAGATTTATCATAATTTATTAAATAAAAAATTATTTTAAATAAATAAATAAATCTTAATTATTAAAAGTAAAGTGATAAATTAAAATTTTATATAAATATAATATATAAAATTTATATTTAGTGAATCCTAACTCTTCTTAACCATGTTTTAATAAAGCTTGTGTGGCCGAGAAGAGGGGTTGGAGTAGGAGTATAGGACCGCAAGGGAGCTTTCTATCAACCAAATATCTTTATTGGCTTATAAACATAAATGTCAATTTCTACCAAAGAAAAAAAACAGAAATGTCTACCAAGACATTGCCTAATCGAAAATGGAAAGATATTGCCTAATCGAGGAAAGGCTTCATAAGGATTAGCAAAATGAGAAATGCATTATCTGTCCTCTCTGATTTGTGCGGAAGGGACAAGACTTGGGCACAGTTCGGTTTTGATCTAATTGAAATCAATTTTGAACTTTTTTATTTTTATTTTTATTTTTAGTAACCAAAACATAATTAAATTTTTTATGGGATTTTCAGTTTGGTAACTAAAATACAGTTTTAATATTTCGATTATCAATTATAACTAAATCAACATTAAATACCTATTTTAAGTTTAATAATGAATATACTTAATTAAAATTTGAAATTTTTAAAGAATATAAATATAAAAAAATGCAAAAAAAAAAAAGAAAGTAAAAAATCAATTTTGAATTTTATTTTTTTACTTTTAAATATATTTTAAATTTAAATACTAAATTATAATAAAATTTATAACATAAAAATTGAAAATGAAATTAAATGAGATAGTTTTTATATTTATTTATAAATTTAAATAACTATTATTTATTTATTAATATAAAATTTTATTTTTTAGTTATATATTCAGTTTTAAAATTTCAACTCTTTAATTATTAATTAGCCGAATCTTTTTAGTTATTTAACTAAAATTAAAAAAATAATTATTTACATCTAATCATTTAATTAATTTTTTTAATAATTTTCAATTACTCATTTTATTAATCGACCGTTTGCCTAGATACCTCCCCTTTAACGATGGTTCGAAGCGGTAATTTTATTTTGTCCAACGGGTATTTTCGGCCATATGTACCTAGTTAGGAGGCTGGAGCTGTAGCTGCAGCTACCAGCCTCCAAGCAGCTGAACCAAGGGAATCGTATTGGTTGGACTGGAACGCTACCAAATACCAATTACCATCCCAATGTCTTTGAAGACTTTAACGTGTTGAGCTACAACGTGGAGTAGTCATTTCACATCAAATCTCTCACACGTCTAATCGGTTTAAAGAAATGAGTTTAATAGCCTTACTTTTTTTTTTTTTTACAATTGTAATGATTAGAATGTTAGTATAAGTTAGTTGTTAGTAACTGAGATTCGATCCTCAGACCGGATGAACATTTTACCCCTCAAATAAGGCGCGCGCCCATTAAGGTACTTTTTGGTGAAGTTCACGATAGTGGTAGAATTCGAAACTCTGATCACCTCATTGAAGCACTTAAAACTTAAAGTCGAACCATAAGTCTAAAAATTCGGTTTAATAGCCTTACCTAATTAGTTGGTAAGGATTACATACTTAAGATTAGGCAAACAGTCGGTTAATTATATAAATAATTAAAAATTAATAAAAAATTAATTAAATGATTAAATACTAATGATTATTGATTTTTTTTTTTT